GAACACCCTCCCTACTCACCTGATCTGGCCCCCAATGACTTCTTTCTTTACCTGAAGATAAAGGAAATATTGAAAGGAGGACATTTTGATGACATTCAGGACATCAAGAGTAATAGGATGATAGCTCTGATGGCCATTCCAGAAAAAGAGTTCCAAAATTGCCTTGAAGGATGGACTAGGTGCTGGCATCGGTGCATAGCTTCCCAAGGGAGCATTTCAAAAGTGACCATAGTGATATTCAGCAATGAGGTATGTAGCACTTTTTCTAGGGTGAATTGCAAACCTAATTGTCAGGCATACAGCTATTTTAAAAGAATATGTTAGAGTTAAATATACTCACCTGGGAGGATACTCATAATAAATTGTTAGGTTAAAGAAAGCACATTGTATAATCCCATTTCTGTTGCAAAAAAATAGAGCTAAGGGGTTTACCCTGAAAATGTACGTTCGTTTATCTGAAGATAGAATACCCTGATTACACAGAGGGAGGGATAATTTAAGAAGAAGAAAGGAAAATTAATTTTTTCTGTTTATATCTCTGCATATTCAGCTTGCTATAACCAACATGTATTATATCTATAATTTTTAAAATGAAAAATACTTTCATTAATTAATGAATAGAGGTGCATTTTATTTATTGGAATTTTTGAGATGGCTTATTTTCCAGTGACTACCTGAGTTATGTGTATAGATTTAGCATTTCTAGAATTCACCTCCTCTCACTCCACAAGGATTAGCCCCAAAGGTGACATCTACCTTTCTCTGCCAAATGAGCTTCTTTTTATTTTCAAATGAGCTTCTTGCGTGACCAAACAATATAATGCACACAAGCATTTCTCCCAGTTTTAATTTTTGTTTTGGTAAAATCATGGCACAGTACTTTCCCATTCCTGCCAGTGGGCCCCCATTCAAAGCAGGTACTGTGGTGATTTGATGCAAGGGAGGCAGCCAAGCCTAGTGACAGCTGCAGCCCAGGATAGCAGGCAGGAACGAAGCCCTCAGTATCAAAAATCCACGCAGGAATTTTATTTGATTGTAGAGGAAATGTGGCATTTGGAAAATATTTCCCCAGGAATTGTGGATGACCAGATGGCACCCAGGTATAAAATTTATATGGAGCTATTTAAAAGGCCTCAGTATTATTTCCTTCCTTCCTTCCTTCCTTTTACCTTCCTTTTCTTTTTCTCTTTGATCTTATAAAATATACAGCAAGAGAACTAGGAATATATTTTAAAATGTCAGTCATATTTATTTAGTGCTTACACTGGACCAGATATTGCTAAGAATTTGTATTAGTTAAAGTCATGTAACTGCTGTAACAAATAAACCCCAAATCTCAGGGGCTTACCACAACAACAGTTTATTTATTGTTCTCAGTACAGTCCAGTTCAATTTGACAGGGACCCTGGCGCCTTCCATCGTCTCACTATGCCCGCCTCTTAGCTCTCTGAACCCTCTCCATCAGCTGGCTGATGGGGGAAGAAGATGGAATCAGGCATGGGCCCAGCCTGGAAATGGTACTTATCACTTCTGCTTACATTTCACTGGCCAGGTTGAAATCACATGATCATATCTAACAGCAAGGGGGGCTGGGAAATGTAGTCTTGGAAAAAGAGCAATGAGGCATCATACATGTTGGAGAGCATTAGCAGTCTCTGCCTCCACATTTTATTTGCAATATCTCTCTTAAAGGTGACAACTCACTGGTCTATAAGCTTAAGATGGTTTCTTATATTTCTTCCCATAGTT